TTGAGATTAATTGTTACTTTGCAGTGTAACCATGGAAACAAAGTACTAGTTGTTTAAAGTGATATTTTTTTGCTGCCTTAGGAATTTACTAACCTTTTAATCAAGAAACATATTATTTGAATCACCTTGAATAGTACTTATCTCATAGAACAAAAGTTGAATATCATATATTGATAAAGGTTGTTGAAAAATACAATGCTGTTGCTATGGTTACCAAGAAGAGAAAATGTTCGATTTTGTTAATTTTATGTCAATATTAGACCCTATGTGCCAGCTTTTTGCATCCAGTTAGAGATTGGGTGGTAGTCAAAATTGAAAGTCAGGTTAGTTGTTCACATATATCAATCATAAAAGTTTTGGGAATCTACAAACAAGGGTACGTATCCAAGGAAACAGAGTATTTTTCAGATTTTTATGCATGTTTTTTCCCCTTATTTCCATAGCAACGCACTATTTAAGGAATTGAAATTGAATTTTTTGAAATGTGAACATTAGGGTCACACCAAGGCCTTTAAAAATTGATCATCAGTTATATAGAAATATGCTTTTTAAAAAGATAGGATAAGATTAAAACACTAAGAGAGTAAATTTAAAATCCCTTCATGGTATTAAAACCATGGCAACCATTGCCAACCTATAAGAAATATCATATTTTGTCCTTGGTATATGTTACAAGGATCTCTTGTCTATTATTTGCTTGCATTTCAACCTATAATTGTTTTTATTCTTAAGTGTATGACTTTATAAAATTAAATGAACAAAATTATTACTTTTGAATACTTTGTTTCCATAGTAACGTATGTTATAGTTGATTTACCAAACATGTTTATCATGCATTTAAGACATCAGACCTTCAACTTTCAGAAACAGTCATTGCCACTTGTTTGCTTTGCTGCAAACGTTAACTGTGGGACTCTGAACATGTTGAAAAATGCCATTTTTCAAACTTTACAACATGTTGCTATGGTAACCATGACACGTAGCAACCAATTTTTGCCTGATTTGAATTTACGGTATCAAAGACTTTTATCATAGAGAGTTTGGAGAAATTCTGAGACTATGCGTACCACAGCTCCTATATAAAAGTTCAAGTCATTACAGAGAATGGCTCTTAATTATTGTTTAAGAATATAATTTTATGTACATTTCATCGCGTCGAAAAATGAATAGATTAGGTGTCAAGTTAGCTGATGCCACAGAGGAAGATGAATAGATGGTCTTGATTATGTTCAAATACATATATTCAAGCAGGTCCGGTCCGTAGTTAGTTTTAAAAGTTCGGGGGGGGGGGGGGTCGGGGGAAGGCAGCTTCCTCCAAAGATCTGAAAAGCAAAAAAACAAAAAAACAAAAAAAACAAAAAAAACAAACAAACAAACAAACAAACAAACCTATATTGACTAAAGAGTTGGGGGTCAACTTTCCAAAATAATCTGACAAGTAGAAAAAAGGGGAAAACTTACCTGTACAAATCCTGGAATTTACCACTGCTCCACCTTACAGCAACAAAAATGGGGGGGGGGGGGCAGCACGTATAAGAGGACCCCCCCCCCCCCGCTTCTACGGGCCTGTTAAGTCTCGCATGATATTCGGTTTCAATTTCAAATAGACTTCATAAAAATTGTAATGCAACTGTATTTCATTTCGCTCAGAAAAGTCCGTTTAGTTTGTATGTATATCAGGGTTTTTTTTTTTTTTTTTTTTTTTGATTAGCGGCCCTTTTAAGAAATGATGAACGATACTTGTTGTGTTCAAGTGATACATCAGTAGCGTCGAGGGCACAGGTGCCTCAAAATAAAAATAAAAGGACAGAAACATTTTTAACCGCTTTTTATTAAGTGTGATTTACTGAAAAAAGTAAGAAGTTGACAAAAAATTAAATTTTCATGTACAGAATAAACGTTCGTAATACAATCCTTTGACATCGTTATGTGCCTCTTTGTTATGTTTCTACTCAATAACTAGGACAGGCGAAGAAATTGAATTGTATAAACAATGGAAACTTAATTATTTAATCATTTTTATTAAAGAATTAAGAAAGAGCTAAATAAAAAAAGCCCCTTAGAAGTAGTGAACAGATTTTTTTTTTAATTAATTAATTATGATTTTTTTAATGAAACTTAAAATTTTTAAAAAAAAAAATGTTTACACATATGGCGTATCTGAATTTCTGAATTTATTTCCCGTTAGAATTTTTTGGTGATACAGAAAATACATGGGGTGTTATTATCCCTTCGTAACAAAGTTATAGGGGATAAAGTAACGTGCGTGTATGTGGGTGAGTTAATGCGTGCTTATCCGAAAATATTTTTTTTATCGGGATCGATGTGCTCTTTCGAGAGGGGATGTCCCGCTTTAATTGCACGAGGTGCCCTTCCGGGACACATATATAGATTTTTTCATATTTTAATATTACAAGTGCTTTATATCTTTTATAAATTGAGCTAGAGTAGGAATTTTAAAAAGAATACATTATGATGTGAAATTTAACAAGTATTAATT